TTGCTGCCAGCATTCAGGCTAAAGGCTAAAAACATTAGCATTAAAGTAAATGCTAGAACAATAACACTGATGCTACAAATAAACTGAACTGAATTTATTGAATTTAGTTCAATAAAGTTTCATTGAACTGAATTCAGAGGTTGAAGGTCTAACCAAACCGGAGGTCAAAGATTCTGTGGTTTGGACCCGGTGGTCCGGCCCGGTCCAGCGTCCGGTCCGGTCCGGTCCGGTCCGCCTACCTGATGTAGTCGTTCTTGCAGAGGATCATTCCTCCCTTGCTGTAGCAGATGCTGCTGAACTCGCCCAGCTGGGCCTGGCAGCAGGAGCATTTCAGGCAGCGGGTGTGCCAGTAGCGCTCCATGGAGAAGAGCAGGAAGCGGTCGGCGATGCGCCCGCCGCATCCCGCGCACGCCCGGACGGCCGCCTCCACCCTGCTGTTCACCATGTCTGCATCACGCCCAACATGGAGGATAAAACAGGCAGATTTTATTTTAGTTTGATAAGTTGAGTCATATTTTCACCATGATGTTCATTTATGTTTTATTTGTAGTTATAAAGTTTTCTCATTAAGACACAAGATTTTATTTACAAGAGAACAGTTTTTATAAAACAACTAATTAATGAAATTAAATAATAAATGTCACAGTTTGAAGCTAAATATGTAAATATTTAGCTTCAAAGTAATTATTTAGCTAATATTCAAACTCACAGCAGGTAACAGGAAGTTAAATATTTAGTTACCAATTCAAGTTATCAGCAAATGATTTTACATATTAGCTAAATATGTTAGCCCACTAAGCTAATACTCACAAACTGTTTTACTGAGCAAACTAAATATTTAGAATCCAGTTAACCGGTAACTTTGAAGCTAGTTAGCTTTAGTTTAGTTAGCTTGCTAACTAAACATTTGGCTATTTAGTTAGAAACTGAGACATTTGTCAGGCTATATGACAGGCTGGATAAGTTAAATTATTGCCACTGTTGTCACTCCGTACAGCTGGCTCAACACATCCAGGTTCAGTTTGGACCTGGACCCGTCCAGAACTCGGAGCTTCTCATCAGTTTCACTCCTGAAACCAGCCGGTTCTTCGGGGTTCTGCTCCTTTCCAGGAACAGCTGGGAGTAATCCAGCCTCTGGCCGGCCCAGCAGTGAGTCAGAACCTCTGCAGAACCAGAACCGGGTCAGGGTTATAATTAGCAGCAACATCAAACAGCTGCAGCAGCTGGCCCGGTTCTTCTGGAGCAGACACCTGGGTCCAATCATCCCGAGGCCGGGCTAGAGCCACTGACAGAACCGAACGGCCGTTTAGTTCGGCAGAACCTGGAAGTTTTCAGTAAAATGGTTCCAACGTTTACATGATGTGAGAATTTATCAGATTAAAGATGAGTTCAGATTCCAGAGGAACAAGACAATTTCCTGAAAAAACTCCAGTTTTCTGGTAAAAAATTAAGTTTTTAAACTGAGGATGAGGTGAATTTTATAGAAACATTTTCCCATATACAAGTCGTGTTTCTACTGGCAAAGACGGCGAAGAAACAGGAAGTGGAATTGTTTATTGAGTCACAGGCTGAAATCTGAATTTATAATCACTGCAAACGTTTCACTGCTTCAGTTTTTCATTAAAATGTTTCTGTTTGCAAAAATAGAAAAAATAGTTTTCATTTGTTTTTTCTTTGTATTAAATGTTTGAGTCGTGTGAGAACTTTGACCTTTGTGATGTTGGCCCGAGGTTTTGACCTCCAACTTCCTGGTTTCAGCTGGAAAAGGCGGCAATCGCCATGGCAACACTCAGACTCAGCCTTCATTCTTTTTCTAATGTTTCCAGAGTTTTTTTTGCGCCTGCCGGCTGATTGGGTCGGCCCGGAACCGGGACTCCGGGTCGGCCCGGAACCGGGACTCTGGTTCTGAACCGGGACTCCGGGTCAGAACCAGCCGTTTCACGCTGAGCCCACAGTGACGTCAGACGCTCCTGTTACTGCCTGCTAGCGTCGTCTCACTAATGATGCCCCCTGGTGGCCTGTATAGGAACAACCACTCCCCCTGTGACCCTGGGCCAGAAACGGGCCGAACTGGATCGGACCTCCAGAACACTTTCAGCTGTTTCAAATTAAAAACAGAAAAACACTAAAAGAAAACAAATAAAAACGATTTTAAAATTTGTGAGAATATTCATGAAATTCATTTTGAACAACAAAATAAATCCAAACAAACATTTAGTTTGTCTTTCTGGCTTTTATAAAGATGAAATGTATTTATTCTCATATCATCACCTTCCTAAAATTATGGACAATCATTTTTTCAAAAGTGATTTTGGAAAAAACTAAATAAATAGTTTAGAAAAAATACATTAGGAAGGTGATAATATGTTTACAGTAAAATAAAATGTTTGGTTTTATTTCAGAAAAATCCTAAACAGATCATAATTCATTTCTGCTTCCTGTTCCTGCAGACAGAAAGCAGAAGTTCTGGTCCGGATCGGTTCCGACTCACCTCCTCCTGGTTCCGTTTGGTCCTCAGGGATCCGAACCGGCAGCTCAGCGGAAGCGGAGCCGAACCTCCTCCATATAAACTCCTCCTGGATCGGAACCGGACCCTGACAGTCCTGCGGCGCGTCGCTCCTGCTCAGCGCTGCTTCCTGACCGAGGTTTAAAACCGACTGAAGCCACGCCCCCTATGACGCCATTGGGAGGTGACGCGCCAGCTGCGGTTTCCTTCCTGGCCGCCAGAGGGAGACATTTAGCTCCTCTATTGACACAAAGGTAGAGATGTTTTCAATCCAAATACGGAGCAGAAATGATTATTTTATGTTGTTGTCATATATCAAATATTGTAGAAATGAAGTTAAAAAGCTTCCAAACTTTCTTTGTATTGTATTGGAAAAATTGTCCTTAGAAATAATCTGCATCATTTATTGAACTATGAAACCAAGAGAAGATCAGATGAATCAGATGAATTTGGACATTTATGGAACATTAAAATCAAAATTAAAAACATAAATCTAACCACTTTAAATAAAATTGGCTTTAAAAAATAACAAAAAGCTTAATAAAATTTTAAAATTGTAATAAATGGATGTCATAATTTTATGTTTTTCATAATTATTCAAATGCAATGTAATTTACATCATGCTTTTTTATTTTATTTAAACTAATACTATTTTACTAAATCAAATATAACACATAACTAATAAACATCATGTTGCTGGTAATATTAGATCTTATTTTCTTTGTTTCCAGTTTTTATTAAAAATATAACAAACATCTTACTTCTTTTGTGGCATTTTGAATTTTTTCTCCCGCCCCCTGAGCAGAGAGCGCCCTCTGCTGGACAAACAATTCTTCCAGTTTGTAAAAGGTCGGTTCAGTGCAGATACTTTCAAAAAATAAACTACATACACAAATGATAATAATACATATTGTTTTATTTATAAATATTAAATTATTTCAGGCTGCTCATGTTTCCCATTTTAAATCAGAAACATTTTAATTCCATTTATTACTATTTTTGTTTAGTTTAATTCAAATAATCTTTATTTTAATTGTTTATTGTGGTTTATATCTTTGACTTGTGCATTGTTTTATTCTACTGTAATTTATTTTCTATTCATTTATGATTCTATCTTTTTAATTAATAATATTACCAAAATACTTTCAGTGAAAACATGATTATTATTATATTATTATTATTTATTATTATTATTATTATTATTATTATTATTATTATTATTATTATTATTATTATTTTACTTTATTTCACTTTGTTGATTTGTTTTGGGGTTTTTGGGAGGTTTTTTATATTTGTCTCTTACACAGAACGATATCTCTACATTTTTTTAGACATGTTTAAACTGAATTAAAATGTTTACAGATGTTTTAAAGAAACAGCGGGTCTTAACTCCGGGCTGTAGATGGCGCTGTTCATCACGTCATCCTAATTATGTGAGAGAAGAAGACTGGCTGCAGTGTCCACGGTGGTGCGTTCATGTCCAAGTAGGAGTTTGGTATTTCTTGTTAAATGTCTCGTTTATAATGATCCAGAAAGTCAAATTTATACCTTGAAATCAAAAGCAGCTTTTCTTCACATCCCTCCAGAGTTTTTAGCTCCTGTTTTCTACTAGCAGAAAAACAAAAAGGTTTGTTTGCTTGTTTGTTTTTTTGTAATTTGCCACGATTTATAAAAACCTTCCTATCGATTCTATTGAAACTTTACCGTCTGTCTCAGAACATTATGAAGCATTTTAATTAATCTTGTTTCACACTGTTTTTTATTTTAAACCGATATCTGGCTGAGATGCCCTCTTCTGGAGTTGATTGATGAAAACTTGAAAGCAGCATCCGTTATGATTGATTAAACCTCCAGTCAAACCATAAAAATAAATGTGAACTGGTTGCGCTTCTATACTCCATGTTACGGTCGCCGTTTCCGATCATGTTGCATTCAACAACACCCCGTAAATTAAAAAACTACCCTGAATTAGCTGCTTATTGATCAAACCAGGAATCTGCCAGTTAAATCTGATATTAATATTTAAGTATTCTCTTACATTCTCTTAAAACAGGAGTTTTACAATGAAGAACAGATATTTAGATTAGTAATAGTTTAAATAAAACTGCAATAAGTGTTCTATTATTATTTTTTTAATCATCATTTATATAGATGTGTCAATGATATGTCAAAATGTCTAACTCAATAAAATGATAATAAATTTTATATTAAACAATTACCCTTATTGGAGTTTAGGCTAAGATCCGATTCAATAAACAGCAATAATAGTGTAACTAACATAGAACTTAGTAATGAATCAGTTACATTACTAAACCTCAACAGGAGAATAACCACAAACATACGATTTGCTTTTGCTGTGCAATAAGTTAAATGAGCAAAAATAAACTTCAGTTGCCACTCGGAACATGGCGGAAGAATGGTTTCAGTTGGCGAACAGGGCGTTTACGTGCCCGTAATAACCAGAGCAGAGGCGCACACAGTTTGTCAGTGGACGGCGTTGCCGTAGTGAATTCATCTGGTTTCACAGGGTGAGGAGATTCAGCCTGTCGGGGCTTAGTGGAGAAAAGTTGCTTTAATAATTAACTGAGATATAACTTTCGAGAGATTTATGTCCTTTCTGACAGCGGCATTAAGCAGGTAGTAGTTAGCAAACCTCAGAAGCTGTTTCAAATTAAGGTCTTCAACCTTTAAATAAGTGAAACCGGAAACAAGCCAAGCCGAGGCGGATCCTGTGAGTGGAAAATACTTATTATATCTAATTATTATATCTGTAAATATCAGCTACATGTCGTGTTTGCGATGTTTTCAGGGATTTCTGACATGCTAGCTCTGTTAGCATCGGGTGTTTACCGTAATGATGAAGGTTAGCATCATCCTCCTCCTGTTAGTTACTGTCAGGTTCTGATGGGACGTTTATCCGTTTACTGGGTCTTAATGGAACCAGAACCAGGACAGAACCACAGCCACAGTCAGCTAGCATGGAGTTAAACCAATACTTTCTTAAAAAATGAGATTATAGTAACAACATAAATGGATAAATCTGACAGAACATAATATAATATCTTAGCAACAGCTGCAGTATTAGCTTGAATGAGTTTTTTAAGCCTCTATTCTCAGTATTTATAGTTCTAACCTGAATTGATTTGTGGGATTTTTGTTGATGGGAAAGGATGAGTCCATCCTCCACTCAGAGCATCAACATGTAATCAGATTACTTCATCCAGAGCATCCATCCTGTTTACGACCCGAAACCAATCCCAGATTGATCAGATTCAGTTCATGGCAGATCAATAAATAAATTCTGTTCAGGTTAATCTGTTCATTTCTGAATCAGAAATCTTTGGCTATTTCCCAAAGTGCAAAGTGAAGCAGCAACTGCTTTGTTTTCAGTTTGTTTCTGTTGACGATATATCGGCATCAACATCGGTATCGGTCCAATATCAGTCATTTTTTAATATATCGTATTGTTTTAATAAGTTAAACGATGTTTATCTCCATCTTGTCAGTATTTGGTCATGTGACAGTGAGGCAGCAAAGGATTGTGGGATGATGTTAAAAGCTCAGGCAAATGTAAGGAAAATGAATAATATTGATAAATATTGGATATCGGTGCGTCCAAACTTCCTCTGGTTCTTAATCTGAATTGGCACATTGGACCTCAAAGAATCACAGAAATTGGTTCTGACTTGATTGGTCCATTTCTAACACACAGGGTCAAAAATATTCATACGGCTTCCAGTGAGGGAAGTCCTGGTTGAACTGGTTCCTGTTTGGTCGGGTTCCAGCCAGTCCGTCGGTCCGGTGGGGCCAGCAGCTGCAGCGCAGCAGTTCTGGACGGGACGGGCCTCAGGATGCCTCTGTTCTCCAGGAGGAGGAAGCCCAGCGAGGATTCCAAGAAGAGGCTGGAGCATCAGCTGTACTGGGTGAGAACCGGGTCGGTCTGGCTCCGTTCGGACCAGAGCAGACCAGAGCATGCTGGTTTCATTATGGATTAAATCTTATGGTTTCTGTCTTGACCTGCAGTCCAACCAGGAAGGAGCCGACGACATCCTGGATGTCTCAGCCTGTGAGCTTACAGAGGTGAGGAGCCACTAGCTACTAGCCAATAGCTTTTAGCTTGATGAACTAGCAGAGGAGAAGAACCGCTAGCTACAAGCCGATAGCTGTTAGCTTGATGAGCTAGCAGAGGGGAAGAACTGCAGCTACAAGCCGATAGCTGTTAGCTTGATGAGCTAGCAGAGGGGAAGAACTGCTAGCTACAAGCCGATAGCTGTTAGCTTGATGAGCTAGCAGAGGGGAAGAACCGCTAGCTACAAGCCGATAGCTGTTAGCTTGATGAGCTAGCAGAGGGGAAGAACCGCTAGCTACAAGCCGATAGCTGTTAGCTTGATGAGCTAGCAGAGGGGAAGAACTGCTAGCTACAAGCCGATAGCTGTTAGCTTGATGAGCTAGCAGAGGGGAAGAACGCTAGCTACAAGCCGATAGCTGTTAGCTTGATGAGCTAGCAGAGGGGAAGAACCGCTAGCTACAAGCCGATAGCTGTTAGCTTGATGAGCTAGCAGAGGGGAAGAACTGCAGCTACAAGCCGATAGCTGTTAGCTTGATGAGCTAGCAGAGGGGAAGAACTGCTAGCTACAAGCCGATAGCTGTTAGCTTGATGAGCTAGCAGAGGGGAAGAACCGCTAGCTACAAGCCGATAGCTGTTAGCTTGATGAGCTAGCAGAGGGGAAGAACTGCTAGCTACAAGCCCATAGGTGTTAGCTTGATGAGCTAGCAGAGGGGAAGAACTGCTAGCTACTAGCCGATAGCTGTTAGCTTGATGAACTAGCAGAGGGGAAGAACCGCTAGCTACAAGCCGATAGCTGTTAGCTTGATGAGCTAGCAGAGGGGAAGAACCGCTAGCTACTAGCCGATAGCTGTTAGCTTGATGAACTAGCAGAGGGGAAGAACCGCCAGCTACAAGCCCATAGGTGTTAGCTTGATGAGCTAGCGGTTCTTCTCCTCTGTTAGCTTGTAGCTAGCGGTTCTTCCCCTCTGCTAGCTACTAGCCGATAGCTGTTAGTTTTATGAGCTAGCAGAAAGGAAGAACCGCTAGCTACTAGCCGAAGTTGTGGGTTTGATTCCAGCTTCCTCCTGTCTGTAGTTCTGCTGGTCTCTGAAGTTCTTTGTTCAGTACTTGGTGACCTTTGACCCTGACAGTTGGTTCAGCCATCAGCTGACCCAGTGGCTGAGGATGAGCCAGAAACCAGGAAGTGAAACCAAAATCCCAGTCAGCTGCTGGTAAATCAACCCAACAAACCGGTCTGGTTCTGTTTCTCCTAACGGACCGATCCAACGGATCACTGCGGTCCAGAACCGCACGGCTCTGATGGGAAGTTTGAAGGAAATACAGAATATTAGAAACATAATTCAAGAGAAAAAACACAGGAAACAAATGGAAAATTAATGAAGATGCTGCAGAAGCTGAGCTAATCCTAAAGCCCTGCTAAAGCTAAATGCTATGCCAACATGGTAATTAGCAAAAGCTAATGATAATAAACTTTATTTTCTGCACCTCATCGCAGCTGAAGAACATGAGGAGAGGAGGTTATCTGGAAAATTAATTTAGGAGAAGCTAAGTGTCGTAAATGTTTCCTAACTGTTAGCAAAAGTGCTATAGTGCTAACTGAAACATTAGCGCTGCTGTTAGCCATTTAGCAGAAGTTTTCCTTAAACCGTCCAGAACCTTAGAGACGGTTCTGATGGAGGTCAGACATTTTGTTTTACCTGCTTCATACTGCCAGACAGTTCTGTTCGGTTCTGTTTGGTTCCGTTAGGTTCTGTTAGGTTCTGTTAGGTTCTGTTTGGTTCTGTTTGGTTCTGTTAGGTTCTGTTTGGTTCTGTCGGTCTGAACCAGCAGATTTTGCTCCACCTTTGTCTCTTCAATGTTTCTGTTTTTATTTTGCTGCAGCTGCCGACCAAAGTTTTCTCCATCTGCAAGGTCCAGCAGAAGAAGGTGAGATCCACAGAGGTTCTGGTTCCGGTTCCGGTTCTGGTTCTGGTTCAGAGGTTCTGGCCCTTTTCCTTCCTCAGGTGCTGATCCTCCACACCAATGAGCTGAAGTTTCTGCTGCCTAAAGGATGTGACATCGGTTGCCTAGCAACCTTAAAGGTATCAGCATCTGACCCGCTGCTCTGATTATTGATTATTGATCAGTTTTTGGCTCTGCAGGTTTTGGATCTGCATGAGAACAAGCTGAGCTCTCTGCCAGAGGAGATCGGGACCCTGACCAAACTGCAGGTACCTTCATCCTCCTCTTGCTCCTCTTCCTCATCCTCCTCCTCTTCCTCATGGCTGCTTCTTCCTGCAGATCCTGAATGTGGAGAAGAACCGTCTGAAGGTTCTGCCGGACTCCGTCTGCAGGCTGCAGCTGCTGCAGACGCTCAACCTGAAGGGTGAGGCGTTTATCTCAGAGACTCAGAAACCCTGACGGTCATTGAACGCATCGCCGTGTCTGACAGGAAACTGCCTGACGGAGCTGCCGGCGGCCATCGGCTCCCTGAGCAGCCTGCGAACCCTGGACATCAGCGACAACAACGTCCTGCAGCTGCCCAAACATCTGGCCACATCCGCACCTTGGAGGTGAGGCAGCTGCTGCTGCAGCGCTGCACCGCGCCCATGCAGCTCTAATTAAGTGTGTGTGTGTGTGTGTGTGTGTGTGTGTGTGTGTGTGTGTGTGTGTGTGTGTGTGTGTGTGTGTGTGTGTGTGTGTGTGTGTGTGCACGCACAGAGCTTCACTCTGGATGCTGCCAGCATGACCTACCCACCTGCGTGCGTCTGCGCAGAGGGAACAGAGAGCATCCAGCGCTACCTCTGCGACGGTAGGACCAGACTCAGAGCACCTAACGGATGCTAACTGCTAATGCTACATGTTAAAAGCTACATGCTAATGTTACATGTTAAAAGCTACATGCTAATGCTGCATGTTAATAGCTACATGCTAATGCTGCATGTTAATAGCTACATGCTAATGCTACATGTTAAAAGCTACATGCTAATGCTACATGTTAATAGCTACATGCTAATGCTGCATGTTAATAGCTACATGCTAATACTACATGTTAAAAGCTACATGCTAATGCTACATGTTAATAGCTACATGTTAAAAGCTACATATTAAAAGCTACATGCTAATTCTACATGATAATAGCTACATGCTAATGCTGCATGTTAATAACTACATGTTAAAAGCTACATGTTAATAGCTACATGTTAAAAGCTACATGCTAATGTTACATGTTAAAAGCTACATGCTAATGCTGCATGTTAATAGCTACATGCTAATGCTACATGCTAATGCTACATGTTAAAAGCTACATGCTAATGCTGCATGTTAATGGATACATGCTAATGCTACATGTTAAAGCTACATGCTAATGCTGCATGCTAATAGCTACATGCTAATGCTACATGTTAAAAGCTACATGCTAAAGCTGCATGTTAATAGCTACATGCTAATGCTACATGCTAATGCTGCATGTTAATAGCTACATGCTAATGCTACATGTTAAAAGCTACATGCTAATGCTGCATGTTAATGGCTACATGCTAATGCTACATGTTAAAGCTACATGCTAATGCTGCATGTTAATAGCTACATGCTAATGCTACATGTTAAAAGCTATATGCTAAAGCTGCATGTTAATAGCTACATGCTAATGCTACATGCTAATGCTGCATGTTAATAGCTACATGCTAATGCTACATGTTAAAAGCTACATGCTAATGCTGCATGTTAATGGCTACATGCTAATGCTACATGTTAAAGCTACATGCTAATGCTGCATGTTAATAGCTACATGCTAATGCTACATGTTAAAAGCTATATGCTAATGCTGCATGTTAATAGCTACATGCTAATGCTACATGCTAAAAGGATATCTAGAATGCAGACGTCGTTCTTCTGCTGGGAATCTGAACATGAATGTTTGGTTGTTTTCAGAGCTGGGTGAGGAGTACTGCGCTCCGTCTCAGTACCTGCTGCCGGTTCTGGAGAGCGACTGCAGTAAACCCGGTTCTGACTGTCTGGACGGGTTGGAAGAGGCCTGGCAGGTCGGTCTCCCAGCCTGACCCCGCTCAGGTTCCTCTGCGCCGCTAACCGCCATCTGTTTCTGTTGCAGAGCAAATTCAGCGACTATGAGAGGAGGAAGGTTGGTGATGTCATCACCCTCAGCGCGGCGGCGGCAGCGGCTTCAAGCTAACCTCTCTGAGTTTTGTTTCTTCAGGAGCAAAAGCTGCAGGAGAAGCTGGCGTTCGAGCGCCACCTTGAGGAGAAACACAGGGAGCACACCCAGCTTCTCCTCATGAACAATTCCCACAAGGAGAACATCCTCAACTCGGTCCGACAGGTAGGACAGAACCTCTGGTTCTGGTCCAGATGGGCTGAGAAATGAGTGGTAGAGAAATCCAGGCTCTGTTCTGGATTTCCAGCATGAAGTTAATTAATCAAAAATCTGTTGAACATAAAGTTCTTCATTTATTGAAGAAGCTTTGGGGAAAATGAGTCAGCTTTAATATTAAAATTCATTTATTACAAAATAATAAAAAACTATTTATGTCAGTATTTCAACACAGAAAGAAAACAAAATCAGAGTTTCTCAGAAAAGTTAAATATCACATAAAATAAGAGCTGCTAATGTTAAACAGAGACAAAAGCACCAAGAGGTCAGATTAGTGGAAAGTTTTGTGGAAGAAAAATGTTTTTTGTAGAAAAATGGAAGAAGCAGATCAACAGATCATATTGATAAAGTTTGAATTGTTTGGAGTAGCTGGTCTGAACCAGAACCAGAAGCCCAAACACTGAGAGAGGTTCAGTTCTGAATCACTGTCCTTCCTGATCCGGTTTCTGATCTGGTTCCTGGTCCGGTTCCTGGTCCGGTTCCTGATCCCAATCAGGACCAGCAGCGCGTGGAGCTCGGGTTCAGCCAGCAGCAGAGAGCGCAGGAGGCTGAGAGGCAGCTGGTTCTGGAGCGGGTCCGGCAGGCCGAGGACAACATCAGCGGCCGGATCAGCAGCCTGCTGATGGCCAACAGCAGGTACGAGCTGCTAGCAGCTAGCGCTAACGCTAACAGCTAGCAGCTACAGGTTGATGATGATGTTTCTGCAGGCAGAAGAAGAGCGCAGAGTTCCTCCAGGCCATGGAGGAGGACCGGTGAGTTCTGATCCGTTACGGTTCTGCTGGTCAAACCGATCCCATTATTTCCACTGAGAAACCAAAGAAAACATGGAGGGTATCCTTCAGCTTCCTGTCTGAAACATATAAACTTGTCTGATTGATCAGGATCCGCATGGAGCAGCTGACGGCCGTCACCCAGGAGGAGGCCGGATCCCTGAGGAGGAGAGAGGTGGCAGGTACCGAGCTACCGGACCCGCTCCTGGTTCTATTTAGACAGGAAATGCTAACCCAGTATTTAGCTTTAGCATATCGCCTTAGCCTTAGCAGAACTAGTTAGCGGTGTTAGTCCTGAGCGCTAACAGTTCAGGGCGTTTCTCTGCATCGTCTTGTGATGTTTGCATCACCTGGTTCTGGTTCTGGTTTCCTCTGAGTCCGGTTGTGTTTGCAGCCGCCATGCAGAAGATGCTGTCAGACGGCTACGCCATGAGCCTCCTGCAGGAGGCCAGCGACAGCCGCCGGCAGAGCCTGGTTTCTGAGGCGCACCGCAGGTTTGACCCCACTCATGTCCTTGAACGCACCGCCGTGTCATTATACTCACCCTGATGTCCTTGAACGCACCGCCGTGTCCTTATACTCATCCTGATGTCCTTGAATGCACCGCCGTGTCATTATACTCACCCTGATGTCCTTGAACGCACCGCCGTCTCTGCTAACCTCGTCTTCTCTGCCAGCCTGGAGTCTCTGGACAGGAAGTTCGACCGGATGCTGTCTCTCCAGGTTCTGGACAAGTCCAAGGCCATCGCTCAGATCCTGCAGGAGGTAAGAGGTCGTGCTGCGGTGCCGGTCCCGGCCTGTAGGGGACGCCTCACAGTCTCTGTGCTCCTCAGGAAGAGATGCAGAAAGCTGCGTTCCAGGCGCTGCAGCTGCAGAAGGACGCCGTCCACGGCTACATCCGCAACCAGGTGAGCCGCTGCTGCTCTCAGGCGACCTTTGACCTTCCGCTGACCATCTCTGCAGGTCCTCCAGCTGCTCATCTCATCGCCCATCCGGCCGGTTTAAGCTGCATGTGGCTCTCATTCCCCAGATCAAACTCATTGAGGCCGAACTCATGCAGCTCACTAAGCTGGAGGTCAAGAGGCGGAGCCTGGACGCCGAGAGCCTGCAGGTGTGTTGCGCCGCTTGACTTTGTTTGCTCCATGTTGGTTCAGTTCCTCATGCCGTCCGTCATCATGGTGACTCGACATCAACGCTTTTTATTCCTCCTGGAACTTTTCATTTCATGTGTTTCTGCTGCTGTTTTATCTTCTGTTTTATGTTATTGTTGCATCTCAGATGTTTTATGTTTGGTTGTAAATCACTTTGTTCAGCAGGAGCAGGCTTAAACTTCATTTCCCATGATGCTCTGTGTTTCAGGAGGTCCTGGTGGAGCAGCGCACGGCGCTCAGCGATCTGCTGCAGCAGCTGCTGAAGCAGAGGGACCAGCGGGAGCAGGAGCTGCGGGAGGTTCTGGTGAGGAGACGTAGCGCAGCGTTAGCTACTAGTGCACAGCGTTAGCTACTAGTGCACAGCGTTAGCTACTAGCACAGCGTTAGCTACTAGCACAGCGTTAGCTACTAGCACAGCTTTAGATACTAGCACAGCATTAGCTACTAGCACAGCTTTAGCTACTAGCACAATGTTAGCTACTAGCGCAGCTTTAGCTACTAGCGCCACGTTAGCTACTAGTGCACCGTCAGCTACTAGCACTGTGTTAGCTACTAGCACAGCTTTAGCTACTAGCACAGCGTTAGCTACTAGCACAGCGTTAGCTACTAGTACAGCGTTAGCTACTAGCACAGCGTTAGCTACTAGTGCACAGCGTTAGCTACTAGCACAGCGTTAGCTACTAGTACAGCATTAGCTACTAGCACAGCTTTAGCTACTAGCACAGCGTTAGCTACTAGCACAGCGTTAGCTACTAGCGCAGCTTTAGCTACTAGCGCCGCATTAGCTACTAGCCCCGCGTCAGCTACTAGCACAGCGTTAGCTACTAGCGCAGCTTTAGCTACTAGCGCCGCATTAGCTACTAGCACAGCGTTAGCTACTAGCACAGCGTTAGCTACTAGCACAGCGTTAGCTACTAGCACAGCGTTAGCTACTAGTACAGCATTAGCTACTAGCACAGCTTTAGCTACTAGCACAGCGTTAGCTACTAGCACAGCGTTAGCTACTAGCGCAGCTTTAGCTACTAGCCGCATTAGCTACTAGCCACGCGTAGCTACTAGCACAGCGTTAGCTACTAGCGCAGCTTTAGCTACTAGCGCCGCATTAGCTACAGCCCCGCGTCAGCTACTAGCACAGCGTTAGCTACTAGCACAGCGTTAGCTACTAGTACAGCATTAGCTACTAGCACAGCATTAGCTACTAGCGCAGCTTTAGCTACTAGCGCCGCATTAGCTACAGCCAGCGTAGCTACTAGCACAGCGTTAGCTACTAGCACAGCGTTAGCTACTAGTACAGCATTAGCTACTAGCACAGCATTAGCTACTGCGCAGCTTTAGCTACTAGCGCCGCATTAGCTACTAGCACAGCGTTAGCTACTAGTACAGCGTTAGCTACTAGCACAGCGTTAGCTACTAGCACAGCGTTAGCTACTAGTACAGCATTAGCTACTAGCACAACGTTAGCTACTAGCACTGTGCTAACGTCAGAGCTTCAGCAGTCACAGTGTTCTGTTTTCCAGGTGGAGATAGAGAAGAAGTCGGACTCCACCCAGCAGAACTACTGGATGATCCAGTACCAGCGGCTGCTGGACGCCAAGCCGCTGTCGCTCCGGATGCAGGTCTAGTCAAAGCCCGCTGAGCGGTGAGGTTTGATGAGGTGAATGAATGAGGTAACGCGGGTTTGGGTGCAGGAAGCCGGTCTGGAGACGGAGCTGGTGAACCTGCTCTGCAAACTGTCGGCTCAGCACCACCTGCCTTCCTGGCCCACCACCACGTCACCCTGGAAACGCTGCGCCACATGACGGCGTCGGACCTCAAGAAGGTCAGGCCGGACCCGAGGTCACAGGCGCCGGGTCTGAAGTTACACTGTTAAAACTGAACAGACTGTAGGAAAACCAGTTCAGGTTCAATGAATTAGTATAAAGATCAACTTTAAATATGTAGTTTGTAAAGCAACTAATAACTTAGCTTGGAGCTAAATATGGAGTGTGCAAGATTAACATTTAGCTTGCTAGTTAAATATGTGGCTTGGAAGTCAAGATTTATTATTGTTTATATTGCCAACTAAATATTTAGTTACAAAATTTCATATTTAACCTGAAGTAAAACTTTAAGTTGGAAGCTAAATTTAATATTTAGTTTAAAACTGAGATTGATAAATGAATCATGTGTTTGTGAAAATGAAGCCGTTTTGTCTGAAACTTTCAGTATTTCTGTTAGTTGTTGTTTCCTCCTTTGAGTTCCAGCTAACTGCTAAGCTAGCAGCGACAGAATAAACCACCGCTAGCTTAGCGGGTTTAAGTGGATCGTCCAATCAGCAGCTGGCTCTTGTTTTGCAGCTGGGTGTTCAGGAAGCCGGGATCCAGAAAGCTCTGCTGAACCTGGCCCGGGACCGCCAGCCTGCAGGAACCAGCAAAGCAGAAACCCCGACAGGTCTGACTCCGCCCCCGTCTCCTCTGCTGCCCAGCACCGCCACCGCGCTGACCCCGAGCCCGCCGCGGTCGCCACGGACCCCAGGGACCCCTGGGACCCCCGTCACGCCCTCCGCCCCCACACTGGTGGAGGGACCAGGCAGCTCAGAGTGTGTGGTCTGCATGGAGATCGGGGTGAGACTTCTGTTGGCTGTGGCGTCCCTCAGGGACGCGCCCTCAGTCCCCTCAGTTTGTTTTTTAATGTTTTACTAACCTGACAAGTTGGTTCCAGGACGGGTTCCGGAACCTGTCGCGGACGGGTTCTGGACAGGTTCTGGACGGGTTCCGGAACCTGTCCCGGACGGGTTCTGGACGGGTCCAGTCCTCGGGTCTCACCGGGTTTTCCTGTGTTCCAGGCTCAGGTCGTCTTCCTGCCCTGCGGTCACGTCTGCTGCTGCCAGGTCTGCAGCGACGCCCTGCAGAACTGCCCTCTGTGCCGCAGCAACATCTCCCAGCGCATACGGCTTTACCAGAACTAGAACCGGACCGGAACCGGGCCAGAACCGGACCGCTCCCTGTGTATTTATGCATGATCCTCAAGCTGCTGAGGAAACAAGTAAAAACTGTCAACTGGTTTTAAAGATCCATCAACAGAACCTTGAGACGAGTTTCTGTCTGCCGCTCGGTTCCTGTGGATTCTGTCTGCGGGTCGGAACCGGGCCGGTTCTGTCGGTGCCTCTCATCATGTGAAGCTTTGTGTGTTTTTAGCCAAAGTAGCAGCAGACGAGTCGATGTTTCCACGCAGCGGCGTCTCGCCCTCAGGCTGGGTTTAGCATAAAGGATTCCTCCATGTTTGTTATTATTGTTACTTTATGAGTTTTAAAACAATTAAAAAGTTTTAATTAACTCCAATCAGCAGCCTGAGTCAGAATATTAAAGCACTTTAAACTTATCTGTTTATTAAATTGATTTTAATAAAAAATATAAAATATTTTTAAAACATGCAGTAAATCTATATTTTTGTTCATATTTTAGCTTCATTTCTTTGTTGTCATATAGTTAATAATAAGGTAAAACATGTTTCTTTTCAGATCAGGTGAAGTTCTTTAAATCAATCATTTACTGTTTGTCTCCATGTGAAGCTGGATGTCGACGCTGTTTCTCTAAAGTGCTCTTATCTGCATCAGGTGAATGTTTAGGATATTTGCGCCACATCTAAATATGACATTTAAAGCTGTAAGACAATAAAATGAAACCTGTAACCATCCTGTGGCCTGGAAACTTTCTGTTGCGTTCAGGAACCGTATTTAGGTCTGGATTGTTCAGCGTTAAGAGACCAACATTCAGAACCAGTTTAAATGTTACTGGGAGTTCTGGATCCAGTCTGCAAACAGCGGCCAGTCTATGAAAACCTGTTTCCTATTAATATGTGTTGTGTGTTTATGAACCGCTGAGTCAGACTCCAGCATGTCGCTGCTTACACTGCCATCTGCCGGTCAACCTGCGCAGCGTCACCAAAACTAAACCATAAACTGATTAATTCAATATGAGAATTTGGTTCTGATGAACCACAACTTTAATGCGACTTTAAGTACTAAGACACATTAGGAACACATTTCTGTTTTAAAATATTTTTATTGATCTGATGTAACCTTTTCTTTAGATGGAAGCAGAAAATCATCATAATTAACAGAAATAAAGGCTTTAAAATAAAATTCTGGGCGGAATTAATACATATAATGTGTTTCACTCAGAGATGAGTTCCTGGATTAAATCTAAATTTCTACTATAGAAAATAAAAGCCTAATCTCCCACTCTCTGTGTGGTCCTTGAACGCAGCGCGCTGCCGGCTTGCCGTAAAGTGTTTCGTTTGGCTTCTGTTTTCTGGCTAGCTTCAACTAATTTTAAGGTCGTTTAAAGTTGTTCCTGAGAAAAACAGCAGAGGTAAATATTTTATCTGTGTAGTTTCTTTCTTTGTGTGAGTTTAACACGAGTGGAAATTTTCCCCGAGAGGAAATATTTGGTCATTTTTTATGTTACCGGTCAGCTAGCTGCAGCTAGCAGCATTTAGCTACTGCTAGCTGCACTGATGACAAAACCTTCTCAGTTTGCTGTTTTCAACCCGCATTTAATCTAGTGAGGAAGTATAAAACTAAAGGAAGGTCAATATTTATTGGCAAATTTCTATAGAAATGTTTTTCTGTTTAAAACTTAAACTTTATCGGTGAAACTCAAAGTTGGATAAACAGATGGTGATGTTTAGATGTTAGCTTCAGATCAGATGATTTAGTTTTGTCTTTATATCTAATATTTATAGAAAAATCAAAGCAGACATCAGTTAACATTCAGGCTTGATTTTATCTCCGTGTCTTCACTTAGCGTCGGTTCTGGTTCTGGTTCTCCTGGCCCAGTTTAGCGGTGTTTATTAAAATAATTAATATTTGCACATTGTTGTTGAACCATCATCCAGGAACTGAATCAGCTTTTAGTGTTTCCTGTTTCCGGGCAGATCAGGAGCATCGTTTCCGTCTGTGAGGCTTTTGGGTCAGACATCATGGCGGCTCCCGCTCTGCTGGTTCTGTTCGGGAGTCAGACCGGAACCGCCCAGGACACGGCCCAGCGGGTCGGCCGGCAGGCCCAGAGGAGGCGGCTGAAGGTCCGGGTTCTGCCTCTGGACGGATACAACGTGGTGAGTCCGTTTCTGCTGCAGGTTTTCCCTTCATCCACCTTCCCAGGGCATGAGACTGCCACTGCCGTGCTTCACTGGGGACCAGACTTGTTTTCCCACCTGAGCGGCGCGACTCTGCAGCTCCTCCAGAGGCTCTGTGCTCCTCTGATTCTTCCATTAAGGACCATGTCAGTTGATCGCATGAGATTTTATTTCAGGGTCATTGCAGTAAAAGGGGCTAAATGCAAATTTATTTTAAAATTTTCCTATTTTTATTAGTTAAAAATTAGTAAAATTTATTCAGTTTCCTTAAACATTTTTTTGTCTGTTTTTGCTTAAATTTCTGAAGGAAAAAGTTTGAAGTGTGAAAACTTTTGTGTTTTGCAGGTTCATTTATTTTCCTTCTGTTATTTTTAGACAATCCGTCTTTAAAAAGTCTTAGATTCATTTATATAAAATTACAGCCTTAAAGTTGATTAAAAAATATTAAATTTGGCTTTAAATATACAACATTTTGTCGTGTTGGAACTATTTGAACCTAACTATTTGATCTCCTTTTCTATGAGACAAAAGTTTGAGTCGGTTCAGGCTAATGCTAACTAGCTGCTAATATAACCTAGCTACTCAGCTAGCTTGTTTGTATCTAACATGAGTAAATTCAAATGTTTCATATCAGATGTTATGAATAGAAGTTTAGGGGTAATTATAGATTTGCCTTTTTGTTTTAAATATCTGAAATGCTTCCAAACTTTTCCAGTTTGTTCAGTTTCTCTGCTCCGTTTTTTATTTTTAAGCAGTTGAGGCGAAACCTGAAACTGCTGCTGCGCAACAGGCTGTTGCTAGGTAACCCTCTGTCTCGTCTACAGCCTTTCCTTTGCCTACATCTCCCAGAATGCTGTGCGGTTCTAGATCAGAGTTCAGTGAAAATTTTATTTGACTTATTTATTGATGAGGGTTTGTTGAGGTTCACATTTTATTCATAATAGTGCTAAAAGGTTTTAGAAAGTAATCCTGCTTAATGGACCTGGTGGTTCTGTAGTGACCCAGTGGGTCCAGTAACGGTTCTGGTTCTGGTTCCCCTCCAGGCCGACCTGATCTCAGAGTCTCTGGTTGTCTTCGTTTGCTCCACCACCGGTCAGGGAGACCCGCCAGACAACATGAAGGTAACGCAGAGTTTACTCTGAGTTCTGGACCCGACCCGCCTGATCCGACCCGTCTGATCCGATCCGACCCATTAGATCCGACCCGACCGCCTGATCCGACCCGTCTGATCCGACCTGACCCATTGATCCGACCCGACCCGCCTGATCCGACCCGGGTCATTTTCCCGTCTTTCCCCAGAACTTCTGGAGGTTCCTGTTCAGGAAGTCTCTGCCTGCCGGGTCGCTGAGCTGCCTGGACTGTGCGGTTCTGGGATTGGGAGACTCATCGTATCCAAAGTTAGTCCAGAACCAGAACCCACTCAGAACCCGTCCAGTTCCCGTTTAGAACTTCTTCTTCTTCTGCAGGTTTAATTTCGTGGCTAAGAAGCTCCAGAAGCGTCTGGTCCAGCTCGGGGCGGCCATGTTGGTTCCGGTGGGTCTGGCGGACGACCAGCACGACCTGGGGTGAGACGTTCCTGCCGTCGCCGTAGCAACCGGCTCTGGACTGGATGGAGTCCGGACCGGGTCAAAATGTTCTCCTGCCGCAGGCCGGACGCCGTGATCGACCCGTGGCTCAAGTCATTCTGGGAGAAGGTTCTGGTTCTGTACCCGGTTCTGTCAGAGGTGGAGCCGCTGAGGGACGACGCCGTGAGTGACCCGACACGACCCGGCAGCTGGTTCTGAGGCCCGGTTTGAAGGTTCTGCTGTTTGTCCCGCAGACTGCCGCCGTCGTATACGCTCCACTTCCTGGATGAGAAGACGGACCGGAACCCGGAGTGGACGGGACCGACGTGGAGCGACCGGGACCGACGTGGAGCGGAACGGGACCGACGTGGAGCGGACCGGGACCGTCCCCTCAGAGTCCAGTCCATTCCCGGCCCGGTTGCTGTCCAATCGCCGGGTCACCGACCCGACCCACTTCCAGGACGTCCGGCTGCTCGACTTCGACATTAGCGGATCCAACATCCAGTACGTGCTCCGGTCCGGTTCTGATCCCAGTCAGACCCGGTTTCAGGGTCCTAGGTAGCCGGTCCGTTCCGGGTTTTAGCAGAACCGTTTTTCAGGAATAATCTGTAACGTTCTCAGAGAACTGATTCCTGGTTCTGACCCAAACTCTGTGGTTCTTTTCAGGTTTTCAGCCGGAGACGTGGTTCTGATCCGTCCCCAGAACTCAGAGGACGACGTCCAGCGGTTCTGCCAGCTGCTCCGGTTGGACCCGGACTCCAGATTCACGCTGACGCCAAACGGTGACGCTCCAGGTGATCCGCTCCAGGTAGATCCGCTCCAGGTAGATCCGCTCCAGCAGGTTCTGGTGCTGATCTGTGTGGTTCTGACCCAGTTCCGGCCCGGCTGCCTCGGCCCTGCTCGGTGCGCCACCTGGTGGCGCGTTACCTGGACGTGGCGGCCGTTCCGCGCCGCTCCTTCTTCGAGCTGCTGGCCGCAGTGGCGACCTCTGACCTGGAGCGGGACAAGCTGCTGGAGTTCTGCTCGCCGGCGGGTCAGGACCAGCTGCAGGCCTACTGCAGCCGGCCGCGCCGCACCGCGCTGGAGGTCAGACGTCACGCCCGCCGTCCGACGTGACGAGCCGGGCTCCCCGCGGTGACCCGGTTCTGGTTGTGGTTCCAGGTTCTGGCAGACTTTCCTCTCACCACCGCAGAACTGGAACCGGACCGGCTGCTGGACCTGATCCCAGAGATCCAGCCGCGCTCCTTCTCCATCGCCTCGTCTCTGAAGGTACCGCCACCGAGCCGCCGAGCTGCAACCTGACCTCTGACCCGGTCCGTCTGCCGGCAGGTTCTGCCCGGATGCAGGTTCTCTGGCGGTGGTCCGCTACAGAACCAAGCTGCACCGACCAGAATAGGACTCTGCTCCAACTGGCTGGCCTCTCTGGACCCGGAACAAGGTCGGTTCTGGTAGCTGTATGGGTCCAGTTCAGTGCAGTCAGAACCAGAACCACACCGGGCCTCATCTGGACCCAGACCCGGTTCTGTTCAACCCGTCTGAATAATTCACCGTAAAACTGAAGCGAAAAAAATGAGTTTTATTTCTTTAAATGATTTTATTTTTTACCACAGAGTAAAAATAATAAAAAGTCAAAACATTTTAACTTTTATTTGTTTCGACTTTATTTATGTAATTTTATGTATTGTGGATTTTCTGACTATTTTCTAAATATTTTTTAATTATGGCCTCAGATTTTAAAAAAAGTTACATAAATTTTAATCTTTATTAAATGCAGATGATTCATTTTATACTAAAGAAATAAATGTTAATTTTTATTTAGTTACATTGAATTTTTACTTTGCTGATAAAGTTAAACGTTTCTCAGCAGAAATTTTGATTGTAGGTAAAAAGAAAAGAAAGTTATGTGGAAGGAAGAAATGTTGATGGACTCTTATAAAAACTTGATTTCAGCTTCTAGTTTTTGACACCTGGTACTTCCCGTTTCTTTAGGTGAGGTTCTGGTTCCGCTGTGGGTGAAACGGGGCGGCCTGCGGTTCCCTCCGGACCGGGACACGCCCGTGGTTCTGGTGGGACCCGGAACCGGAGTGGCTCCCTTCAGAGCGGCGCTGCAGGAGAGGCTGGCTGAGGGAAAAGCAGGTGAGTTGTTGCGGCGGCCCGGTGCGACCCGGTTCAGCTCGGCCCGGTTCAGTCCGGCTCAGTTCAGCTCGGCCCGGTTCGGTCCAGCTCGGCCGGTTCGGTCCGGCCCGGTCCGACCCGTCATCCTGCTCCCTCTCTTCCCTCCAGCCAACGTTCTGTTCTTCGGCTGTCGCTCGGAGACCAAGGACTTCTACTTCCGCTCCGAGTGGGCGGCCATGTTGGCGGCCGGGAAGCTGCAGCTCTTCACTGCTTTCTCCAGGGACCAGGTCAGAACCCGACCCGAACGGACCGGTTCTGACCCGGTGAGGTGTGTGGCGGCATCCTCAGCTGTGTGTGTGTTCAGGAGGAGAAGGTGTACGTTCAGCACCGCGTGAGGGAGAGGGCAGCGCTGCTCTGGGACCTGATGAACAACAAACATGGCTGCTTCTACATCGCCGGGTCAGTCCAGAACCAGAACCTCCAGAACCAGCCCTGCTGTTCTGCTCTAGTTTTCTACAGATGAAGAGACCAGAAACAGAACTTTGTGTTTTTGCTGATTTTATTTCGACCCGTTGGTTCTAACGTTCCTGACCCGGTTTCTGGTTCTGTTCAGGAACGCCAAGCAGATGCCGGCCGCCGTGCGCGACGCGCTGCAGTTCGCCTTCCAGCAGGAAGGGGGCGTGTCCGCCGCGGAGGCGGAGCAGATGCTGGTCGCCATGGAGAAGACGGGGCGCCTGCAGAGCGAGACCTGGTCCTGACCCGGGGCCCGGTTCTGACCCGGAGCCCGGTTCTGACCCGGAGCCCGGTTCTGACCCGGAGCCCGGTTCTGACCCGGAGCCGGTCCTGACCCGGAGCCCGGTCCTGACCCGGAGCCCGGTTCTGACCCGGAGCCGGTCCTGACCCGGAGCCCGGTTCTGACCGGAGCCCGGTTCTGACCCGGAGCCTATGGTTCCAGCTTGACCATCAATAAATGTGTTTGTCTTGCATCTGGCTTCATGTTTCAATGACAGAACAGAACGGTTCTGGTTCTGGTTCTGGTCAGGTCCACATCAGGCCCGAAATGGGAGATCAAAACCTGTCCAGGTGAGGGCGTCGCCGTGGCGACAGGCTCCGCCCCCTACCTGAGGGCCAGCGTGTGCACCTGGTAGATCTCTTTGGGGAAGTTGAGCTGCTGCTCCTCGTGGACGACCCGCAGCCCGGCCCGGCCCACCAGGCGCCGCACGATGTCCATGTCCCGGCACACGCTGCTGTCCACGTCGTCGGGGACGACGCCTTCGTAGGACACGTTGTCTTTGATGATGATGAGGCCGGCGGGACGAAGGGCTTTCTGGCAGCGCCGCAGGAACGCCACCAGGTGGTCGTCGGTCAGGTGACCTGCAGAAAAACCCAAAGTATTCACAGAACCAGAACCAGGCCAACAGGAAGGACAGGGATGAAACATCTGAAAAGTGTGGCAGACACGTTCTAAACTAAACGTGAAATGAAGAAGGAGGAGGACGTTTCAGTCTGATCCATCTGGGTCACATTTAGAACGGTTCTGGTTCTGATGAGGCCCGTCTGTCAGATTGAAATATTTGACCAAATAAGGTCGTAACGTTCATCAAGTCATGTTTCTGGACCAAAACGTCAATTTATTCTTAGGATTTTATTGGTTGGAAGAGTCCAGATAATGTCATTAATATTCTGAAATTAAATCCACATTTATTATTTATTGTTTTAATTTCTGTCATAAATCCTCATAAAATCCATAAAACTTTGTTTCTGAGTTTTAGAGCAAAGCTAAGAAACATGTTTTATTTTGACAATAAAGTTATATAACCAGGAAAAAGACATAATAAAGCAACATTTTGTAAAATGAAGTCAGAATTCCAGAAAAAATATGAAGAAATAAAACGAGTTGTAATAATTTATAACAGAATAAAATTAGAAAATTTCAGGAAGAAAACTGAGAAAAAATTGAGGATATAAACATGATTTCAAATAAAATCATGTTTTAAAAAAGTGGTAGAAACTCGTGATCCTTCAGGAACGATTCCTCTGAATTATTACGACTGTAGAGGCAAAATTAGGAGAAAAAACTCCGATTTCCTTTTGGTCGTGTCCATAATATTGATGCTATGGACATTTTAAATAGTTTAGATATTTTTGGACACACGTCGGCCGGATCCGGCCTGACTCACCGATGACCCACTGGATCCAGATGACGTCGTAGCGGTCCGGTTCTGGGACGAACTCCTGCAGGCCGCAGCAATAGTAGTTCCCGACCCGCTTGGCGTCGTCGCCCAGGAACGTCCGGGCTTTGTCCAGGAACTCCTGGGTCACGTCCACCAGGTCCACGGTCCGGAACAGCGGCAGCAGCAGCCGCTTGCTGATGCGGCCGATCCCCGCGCCGCAGTCCAGGGCGCGGCCCGTTCCCGTCTTCCCTTCGCCATCCTGCGGGGGACGCCACACGTAGGACAGGAAGCAGCCACGGCGCTCCGTACTGAGCTAACGCTAACGTCTCTTACCCCGAGAAACTTCCTGAGGAAGGCCTTGGAGCCGCTGATGTCGATGCTGGAGATGCTGCCGTAGCCGCCGAGCATCCCGTCAACGGTGGGCGGGACTTCCTTCCAGTAGTCCTCCGCGTTGGAGTAGAAGCTGGACTTGTCCTCCGCCACGTCCCCATCCTGTCCACAGAGACGAAGGGAGAGGTGGGACACAATGGATGGATGGATAGTTGGATGGATGAACAAACAGAAAGATGACTGACTGCATCCAGCTGTGTCAATGTTCTGACCCGGTTCGGGTCCACTTCCTGTCCGTCCCGCCCTCTAACAGGTGGGTCTGAACCTGTCAGTTCCAGGAAGTGGGGGCAGTAACCATGACCATATTTGGCAGCAGCTCAGAGGTCTTCAGACGTCACGTGACCATCAGTCATCCTGACTTCTAGCTTATATTTCTGATCTAACCTGAGCTTCGGTCGCTTTTATAAAATGTCTGAATCTTCACAAACAGGAAACTCAACATAAATATCAGACATAATTCTGTCTTCTGACAGGTCTATAGCCTCACAGCAAAACCTGCTTTAAAAAGTCACTTTAACGACCCAAACCTCTCAACTTTCTCCTGTTTTAGCAGCAAACTGCCGGTTAGCCGTTAGCCGCCGTTAGCTTCCCTCCCGTCGGTGAGAGCAGCAGCTCTGCCCGGCTCCGGGCGGCTTTAGCCCGCTGGAACTGGAGGACTGACCTGGTTTCGTGTCCGCTGGAGCTCTGGCAGACCTCCGCAGCGTGTTTCACTCACTTTCTATTTGAGGACTTCGCCACACGGACAGCACGTCATTTCCTTATTTGGTTTGCTGGGGAATGGCCAGCAAGTAGCTCCCCTGCTGGTAGATTTGAAGAAGTACAGAATCAACAGCGTCCTGGTTTGTTGGCCTGGAAACGAACATGGTGAAATAAGATCAACAGAAAATCAGTTAAAAACTTTGGGAAATAAAAGCCTTTTGCCCTGCAGCAGGAAGGTCCTGGGTTTGAATCCCGCCTTGATTTGGTGTAAGAAACTTACTTTTCATACAAAATGTTACTTTAAGAAGAAACGAAACAATTATTTAATATTTAACAAAACAATGTTGGATTCAAACTAAATTCTTCTATAAATCCAGTAGATGTTGATGTAACTTTTTGCAAATAGACACTAGAGAGGTGTTCTCTAGGGTTCCTCCTCACTGGACACAAGATTAAAAATTAAAAATCATAAACCTTTAGCAAAGTGATCTGCTTGAACACAAACAGAGGAAGTGACTGATGTAAACACAACATAGATCAGGAAAACTGTTTAGCACATCTGTTGTCCAGGAGCTGCTAAATGAGATTCTCCTGACATAAAAACATTTCAGACTTTAATACTTTACCAGCATATGTACTGGAATCAAACATGCAGTTATTATATCTGCGGCTATAAAACGCTGCATGCCCGCAAAGCCCTAACGAGCTTCCGTAGGAGTCATGCTACAGCTAGCGCTTAGTGCTAACTTTAGCCACTCAGCTTAATCCTGCAGTTTGGTGCGTAAATAATGTAAAGTGATGCATTAAATGATCCAAAAGAACTTTAAATTACAACTTTTCTTCAGATTCACGTTTCCATGGTTACAGAGCTCAGTAGATCACGTGACAGTTGACGCCTAGCTCTTCCAGTTAGCTTCCGCTAGCTTAAAGTCATGTGTCTACGCATGCGCATACTCGTAGGCGTGTCTCTGGGTTCGCGCGGGGACAGCTGCGTCATAACGGCTTATGACGTCACCCAGGATCAAAGGCAGCTTCCTGCTGCGGGTCAGTTCAGTTTCAGGTGAAGTCATTTCGAGAAGAGAAGCCGTCGTGAGCAGAACGTCGTTTCTTCACTGAAACTTTGAGAAAAAGGAGATAAAAACTTTGAACAATGTCAGAATCAGAGGAGCCAATGAACAGGAGCATCAGCATCTCCATTGACAACCTGGAGGACATCATATTGCCCCGCCTGAGCACTTTGACCCCAGCACAGTGGACCTTGCTGTCACAGGGTCTGAGGGATTCACATATAACAGGCGTCATGGCTGACATACTCACCAACATTTTCCAACAATGTGTGGAAAATTCACTGACTGTCCTTGTGCCAATATTGGAAGAAAACATGGTGAAGTGCATGAAGACTAAAATACCAGATGAAAACATCAGTGTGCATTTGACCAACATGATTTCAACAGAAATGGCCACCGTCCTCGAGGTGTCTCCACCGGAAGAGGTCTGTGACAGCAGCATGGAGCTGAACTCCCTGATGGAGCAGGAAGTCTCTGAAAAGGTAACATCTATTGTAAATGGCATCAGGAGAACCTCCAGTTTTCCTTCGTCACCAGCAGTGTTTGCAAGTGGCTGCATTTCTAACCTGAGAAATTTCAATAACATGGTTTCCAACTCAGTTCAGTGTTTCCGAAAACACATAAACAGACCCAGATCAAGATGCATCGAAAGGTACTGGAGCGCGTTCACTAAGAAGCGAACATCAGGCGCGTCTCCAGCAGAAGCAGAAACTGCCTTCGACCTCACAGGGAGAAGCGTTTCTCCTATTGTCAAATCTCTCTACTCCGTGGCCTCAGTTAGCGAGAGCATCACTGAGATCATCGAGAAATATTCAGACGACGCCAAAGGCGCAGAGGATGCAGAATCTGGCATAGATCATGTCCAAGTAAACGAGGTTGCAGATGGGATCAGCAAAACCATTATTGACGACCTTCATTACTGTAAGGCTGAAGGTTTGGTGGGACAGAAAGACCCAAGCTGCTCATGCGCTCCTCATTTTAACCTGAAAAAGATTCTTGGTGATATCAGAAACCTTTTTCGCTCAAAGAGCAAAACTGTTCCTCCTGCAAAGAAGAAATTATCAAAAAACCACAATTTTCCAGGTTCGCCAAGAACCAGTTCACCACCATGACGTCTTCTTTGGAGAGCTCAGTCTGGGATCCGAGCGACACAAATGTGGTGAAACTGAAACGAGGCAGATCTTTGTCAAACAGATTGGCTCGCCTCATGTTTCCTGGGTGTGTCCCAGAGGACTCAGTGGAGCAGGTCCGGTCAAAACCACCCGGCAAAACCAAAACAGACCAAACCCCTCAACTGGACTTCCAGTCCATCAAACCTCAGTTTGACAGGCTCTGTGCAGAATTCATGGAGAACCCACAGCTGAGTGACAGGATCAAGCAGTTTTCCAAGGAACTGACAGATAAATTATATACTGATATCACCAGTAGCCATCATTATAAACTTCCTGTTCCCCCTGAAAACCTTTCAGAGTCTGTTCTCTCCAGTGAGAAAATTAGTGACCTTTCTGGCCAGAGAGAGATTTGCCCTGAAATCTTCTACGCAAGAACAGAAGACGAGGTGAAGAGGTTCCTCCAAAACATCTTCCTCTGGATCAGAGACGAGGAAACGAATCGCATCAGTGAGAGCGACAGGGTGTCCAACGTCCTCTCGGAGATCAGCGATCTCGTTGGACAAACGTACGAGACCCAAATCCCCAGGGACTCCAGCTCATCCATCTCAACCACGGAAGACAAATCTGGGTCAATGGAACCAGAGAGTAAAGTTGTCACATTTTATCAAGAAATCGATAGGAGTCAAACTGAGAAGCCTGCAGAAACCCCAGAAGAACAGATGAGAGACCTTGAGATCGGTACGGCGTGCTTTGTGTTCAGGGCCGTTTTAAACTGCTCAAAGGAAAATGGAGGACCCTTCAACAAAAAGGAGATGAGGAGAATCTTACGTTATCTGTCAGGGGAGAGAATACGAATCACAGATTTCTCTGTCAGCATAGACAACGACAACAACACGCATTTTTCTAGAAACCTCTACGAAGATCTGAAAGAGCAGTTTGGCTCTGCAGAAGAGCTGCAGACGGCGGCGATGTCACTGAACGGCAAAGCTTTTCAGAAAGCTTTAGTGACGCATTTAAAGAGTTACATCCCCAAGAAAAACCAGAAAACTGTAGCGCAGAAAACCGTGTCAAAGGTCAGGAAGACTCTGAGGATCCTCATCGGACGGCAGGGGGAGTCTGTCTTCCAGTAAAACACACACACACACACACACACACACACACACACACACACACACACAACACACACACACACACACACCACACACACACACACACACACACACACACACACACAGGCTCTGGCAGGGTAAACAGATAACAGGAGAAATAATTTGGACAGACCAGACAAAATACAGGAATACACGTATTATTAATTTATTATTATAATTATTATTGTTATACTTTGTAGGTCATCAGGTCTTTTATATCTAGACTTTAGGTTTCACCGGGTTCTCCGGTTTTTCCTATCAAAAACCATTTAGAATCTAATTAGACATAAATAAAAATAAACTCTGACAACCAAACCACAGCTGTAACATCTGGGTTTATATTAATAAATTAAACAAACTAATAAAATCAGTCAGTAAACTTTGTCTTCCTGTGTTTCTCATTTCTGTCTTTACTTTGATCCGTCTTCATTCTGGTGTCAAACATTTGTGCTATGTTTGTGCAACAATAATTCTTGTTTGTGCTGCTTTGGCTTTAAAGAAATTAATGAAAGTTTCAAGGTCAAAAGGTCAAACAGCCCCCTCCACTTTTACAAAATCAAAATGACCTTTAACCTTTCATTAATCTCTTTAAGGCCAAAGCAGCACAAACAAGAATTATTGTTGCACAAACGCAGCACAAATGTTTGACACCATTGTTGTCTGATTTGAAGACGGAGGCAAAAACTTCAGGTTTGGTTTCTGATATTGTGATTCATAATATTTCATTCTCCTCATTGTTCCCTCAAAGCATATCAAACTTCATAAATGTTCTTATGAAGTATTTTGAACCAGTTTAAAGTTGGACATTTTTGAACAAACCAGTTTCCTTCTTAAAACTGGGGAGCCGCTAATCATCAAAACTATGTTTAAATATTGAAATTAATTTTGCTACTTTCATTTTTTCTGGAAATATACCACTTTGGACCAACACATTACAAATATAAGTGATGCTTTAATAATACAGTCAATAGATTTTTATAATCATCATGAAATCCCATCAGAATCAACAGATATGTTAGTTTCAGTTTTATTACTTTTATCACACATTTCACCCTATTTATCATTTGTCTTAGAAGAAATCAAAAAGTTCATTTATATTCAAATTAAATCTGCAAACCTCCCACTTATTTACATATTTATTTATGTTTTTCAACATGTGGTTTGGTGCAGATTTGAGTTTAGCGTCTGAATTTCCCGGCACACATAAAACAAGAAGAACTTATTCATGTTGCAGGAGCGGATATGGCTTTCCGTAAAAAGCTACAATAACAATAATTCTCACGGTCCAAAACTTTGTCAAGTTTCCTGGAAACACGTAGAGCAAAAA